AACTGTCCCAGTTGTCTGCAAGTTGGGCAGGGAGATTGGAGGATACAGCTTTTGTGACTTTCTACTCTGGGACAATTCTCAGTGATGCAACTATCTTCAAGTCACCCATACTCCTGTAAGTAGCCTTTCCCCATGTTCCTGTAGCTAACCCCATTCAGTAAGCTAAACTTGTATAAAATTGTCTCTTTGCTCTGTTATTGGTGCCCAACCTAGGCTGAACACATGTTTCTCCATATCTCCTTAAGAGGTTGTGTGGTCACACAACAAAATAAAAATGAGTGCATTGGGAGAAAAAAAGGAAAGAGAAGACTTTAAAATACCTAACCTTTGAAAGTTCTCTGAAAAAGAAAAAAATGATTTGTTTTCTTGTTCATTTATAAATGGTTTAAAAGCAATAAATGGGGGTGCTAGAGAGATGACTCAGCAGTTAAAAATGAGAGATTCTCTTGCAGAAGACCCAAGTTTGCTTCCCACCAAGTGGCTCAAGGCCACTTGTAACTGGAAGAAGTCAGAGTCCTCTGGCTTCCACGGGCACTTACACTCTCATGCACATAACCATGGGCAGATATATACACAAATACACACACACACACACACACACACACACACACACACACACACACACACACAATTGTTCTTAAAAACAATTCTTCTTTGAAGCAGTAAATGAGAAGGGGACTTCCATTTATTATATAACACACCAGACCGTTTGGTCCCATCCACACTATACTACAACCCACAGAGTAAACCAACTATAGAAAACCAAAAACAACCTGAGATTGACACAGAACTATCACTTAGCAATGAGCCCAGACAAATGGAGGAAGTTTCTCTCTTCACAGCTGATAACCAGATTTTAAGGCCTTAAAAACTGGGGGATGGGTGCCAAAGATTTTCCAGAGCTCAGAAAGCAGAAGGGTAACCCTAACTTTGAAGTAGAACCCAACAACTAGGAGGCAGGAATGCTGAGCTCCTGTGTGACCGACCGACCCTGCAAGGGACTGGACTGCGCAGCAGGTCTGCGTGATCTCAACTTCTGAACTTGAGCCAAAGGTGAACTGCCGGGAACCCCAGTTACCTTCTCAGGAATAGATCTTTCCAGACCTAATTTATTAATGCATCCAATTGTTTCCAAATTCAATAGCCAGTACAAATCCTTCCAGCACAAGAAGGGAGTAAGTCAGACATAAAACTCCTCAATTACAAGCAATCTTCATATTGTGGTAATATCTAATGTCTTTAGTGTAGTGCATAGGGCATCGCTATCTCAGTGACCCAAGAATTAAGATAAATGGACTCATTCTGACTCCATTGCTCACCAGAGAAACAACTTTGCTACCAGTTCTTGGAACAGGGCCTTCAAATCCCTAAAATTTCTCACAAACTCTCTGCAATTTACAGTAGGCCTGTAAATACAGGTTCTGTCATTGGGTCCCTTCATCATGAAATCTAAAGTTACACTCTAGATTGGGGAATAGTCACTCCAGCAAAACCAAACATGTGACTGAAGAGTTGACGTCATCAGCCTGACTTAGTAACGGAGGAGGGAAGAGTAGAGGTTTGTATTCAGCCTCCTCATGGACAATGATTCCAACAACCAACCCTGCATAACGAAAGAAACAACGGAAAAGCAACTCCACACACCTGAATCTCAGGTGAGCCTCCAGCTGCCGGTGTGCCCTGATGTGCTGCTGCTGGGTGACATCCCAGGGACACAATGCTTTACGTCTGCCATCATTCCCAGTCTCCCTTTCTGCCTCCCTTTCTAGCCTGGTTGCCATTTCTATTCTAGAGAATAAAACTTTAGACACAAATATAGCACTTTGCTGGGTTCTGTGAATCATTCTTGAAAATGATCAAAAATTAGGAAGTGTGGGTTCCCTGAATTTGTGGCAAAATAGTCAGAAGAAAGGATGGGGACAACTGGTGTCTCCAGTGCAGACAGGTTGTGTGCCCTTCCTAAAGCAAGTTTCATCCTACTCCAGGGCTTGATGTCTAAACTCATCACCATGACCTTTGTCTTAGTCCTTACGACACCTTCCAGGCTTCTGACAGACTCGGGCATTTGAGGTAGCTATTAAATGTAACAATTATCCATTTAGCTGGCTGAGTGATAAATATTTATGGTATTATAACTCTAAAATAATTAAATGCTTATTCTTTGCAAAGTAGAATTTAACAGTATGTGCTTCTGAATTGAGACTGAAATTCTAATCCTGGCTTATCACCTACTAGAGGTAAATGATTTCTCCGAGTGTCAATTTTTTTCAATTGTAAAATGGAAGCTATAGTACTTCACCCACAGGATTTCTGAGAGGTTTAGATAACATCCAAACTGCAGCCCACAATGCTTAGCATCAAGCAGATATTCAATAAACTACAGTTTTCCATCCCCGCAGCATTTTAGACCAAAAGCAACTTGGAGGAAAGCGTTTATCTGGCTGACATATTCTGAATCACATTCCACTGAGGGAAGCCAACTCAAACTGGGCATTATCCTGGAGGCAGGAGCTGATGCAGAGGCCATGAGGGGTGCTGCTTACTGGCTTGCTCCTCTTGGCTCCTACAGCTCAACCTGCTTTCTCATAGAATCCAGGACCACAACAAGCCCAGGGTGATGCCACCCACAAAAGGACAGACCCTCCCACATCAATCACTAATTAAGAAGACGCTCTACAGGCTTGCCTGCAGCCTGATTGTATGAAGGCATTTTTCTCAACTGGGGCTCCCTCCTCTCAGGTGACTAGTGTGTGCCAAGTTGACATAAAACTGTCCAGTTCACTCAGGATGGGGATGAGGAGTACTTGGCAATGAAATGTTCCAGCTCCATCTTGACAGGCTAACCCCACCCTGATAACTATCTCAGGAAAGATCCCTTTAGTCCCTGGAAAACATTGCTAAAGGTTTGATAAATAGGTGTTGAGGACAGCAAAATCTTTAGAGGACTGAAAAAAAAGAAAAAGTACCTAAATAATAGCCAGTCAACAATGTCATAAAAATAATGAAATGATCACAAATGGCACATTAACTGTTGAAGGTAAATGTGCAAACACAGAATCATATCTAATTGTTATTTTCTTACATCATAATTATTTTCAAATGTCTATTGCATTTTTATCGAGTGCCTTTAAACTACTATTTCTAACGTTACTTTTTATAATGTTCAAACACTCAGAATGGAAGGTCTAAAGGGATACAGGGATGTTTCAGTGGTTGAGAGTGCTTGTTTCTCTTGAAAGAATCAGAACTCAGTTCTCAGAACAAAGGTCAGATGGCTCACAACAGCAAACTCCCGGGCTTCAATGCCCTCTTCTGACGTCCACATGCACACACACACACACACACACACCAAAATATTTTCCTAAAAAACTCTTCTAAAAGTATTTCCAGCAATATCACAAAATAAATACCTAAACTACCTATTACAGGTTCACTCTAAAACAGTCATAAATTATAAAATCATAAAATGAAATGGAAATACCAGCCCTTAAATGTTTGTCCTACAGAATTTCAAATTATTGATGAAATAAAATATTTACATGATAGTGAAAAATTTTAAATTAAAATAATTTTGGGAACAAAAATCTTTTATCTACACTTTAATTTTTCAACATTGACAGAACATGAGAGATACTGTATAACAAAAGTAAAGAATAAGGTAATCAGCAATTTGTCAACAGTCATGCTGGTAGTGAAAATTTTTAAATTAAAATAATTTTGGGAACAAAAATCTTATATCTACACTTTAATTTTTCAACATTGACAGAACATGAGAGATACTGTGTAACAAAAGTAAAGAATAAGGTAATCAGCAATTTGTCAACAGTCATGCTGGCTAATTTAAATACAAAATCTATATTATATGTTCATACTTTTCCTGTATCCTATTTATTTTTCCTCCTGCTCACAGCTGTCCAATAATGCAGCATTATTAAAAAGTTTTAGTAAATACTAAAATGCCATAATTTTAACATTAATGTCCTAGCTATCTGACTACTTAGAAAATATTATGAAATAACCCAAATTTCCAAACTTTTTATAAAACCCTTACACCAAGTATAAGTTAATCCTTGTTTTCAGAATTTAAATTTCCTCAGTTCACTACAACACAAAGACAATTATAAAAAAACACATATGCTTGTTTATGTCAGTCTGAACTCACCCAAATCTCTCTAAACAGATATTTATGAAATCATATTCAAACAAATGTAAAGAAATAAGCTAAATGCAGAGAAAGAGTATTTACAAAGAAGTCTATAGTTCCTATAGTATAGAGATTATTCATCTAAGCCTTATTTATATTACTGTATATATCTTCAGTTGACAGTCATAGTACACAGAGTATTATAGTAATCTGTGAAATCCAGCCATCAGCAACCATCATAACCTTGTATACAGATCAATAGGGTAGACTTCAAATAAACAAATTACAGTTATTTACTCCCCTATGGCTGTCAATAAGTTCACTGGGCAAGCGTAATCACTCACCTAAGCACAGCTACTAAAGGCGCATATATGGAATCTCCATCATAAACATACATGTGATCCCAGCTGCATTCAGTAGCAAAATGATTGAATCTTAACCTCAACACTGCATTTGGACTGCAAGAAAAAAAAAACAGAATATATTTACGCTCATATAAAATACATAAAGTGTAATAGTTTTAAAATTAGACATTGTATTTTATTAAAAATCTATTTACAGATACTTTTTCTACAGATCATTAAATCACCAGAAGAAAAACCAATGTGCTGTCAAGATACTGGTTTCAAAATACAATTACCTTTTTTTTTAGAAATTCAGTCAGCAATAAAAGGCAGACTTCATAGATTTGATTAAGGCAGAGGTTAAACACTTTGTGCATACTTTTTACTGAAACCTTGGTAAATTGCATATAACATAGACACATCCTATCACAGAGAGCTGTACTTAATAAAGTTGGTTACAAAGTTTCCACACTCAGAAGCAACTATCCTCACTGCTACAGAACCTTTAAGTACAGGCACTAGGTTCTTTCAATTTTTTTCTCCAATTAGTGAGACACTATGAAGAGGCAAAGTTAGACCACAGGTGAACAGCAGGAAATAGCTTGGTTGTAGTTTCAAAAGACTTTGAAAGTCATCCAAAAAAGCATGGCTTTCCAAACACACTCTACAATCATCAGATAGTACCAAAGAATACCTACCAATTCACGGACCATCTATAAAGCTAAAGCTCCCCATTGTGAAAAGTAGCCAAAAGCAAACAACTAACTCTTCTACAAAATGTTATAAAAATATTTTTAAAGATCCTTAGCACAATTAAAAAGTTTTAAAGGACCACCCGCACTAAAATGCTGAAACTTATTAACCAATGGCATAACCAAGCATAGACTATTAACCAGTGGCATAACCAAGCACAGACTATTAAACAATGGTGTAACCAAGCACAGAATATTTTCACTTTCTACAGATGTTTCTCCAAAGCCACAAGGCCTAATGTGCTTAGTCCTGCAACAATGTAACTCAAAAAACAAAACATATATTTATACTACAAATGAAAAGTACTATGATTTACATTTTTAAACTTCATACAAATGATGCATATGTTCCAATAATAAGCAAGGAATTAAAATATACAGCTAGTCATTTTACTTTATGCTTTAACATCTCAGAATAAAATTAAGTTATTTAACTCAAACTGTATACTTACTAGCCTTCAATTAGCCATGTACACTTAGTTTTATATTTATAGTTAATTGGACCATCTGTTAAATATCCAGAAGGTTCTGTTAACCTAGAAAAGAAAAATCACGAAAATAATCACCTTAAGGTAGCATCAAGGCACGCAGCAGTATGACGAAATTCAAATCATCAGGCCAAAAGGCTCAGACACAGAGGGCTGGAGAGATGCATCAGTGGTTAAGAACATTGACTGCTTTCCCGATAGGTCCTGAGTTCAATTCCCAGCACCCACATGGCAGCTCACAGCTCTCTGTAAAACTCTAGTTCCAGGGGATCTGACACCCTCACACAGACAGACATACACACAGGCAAAATGCAATCAATGCCCTCAAAACTCAACAAATGATTTTAAAATTAATAATGTGACATAATAGTTTACAAATTGCAGGCTGTATTGACAACCTAGAGCAATTTTCTCTCTACAATTGAAGAGAAATTTAGTCTAACTTTCTAGAAACTTGGCAAACCATGGCCATTTCAACTGACCATAATAGAAAAAGTCAAGTGAAACACTGGACGGTTTACTGAAGGGTTGGTTCTGTGTTGACAAAATGTTGCTCTGGCAATAGGAAAGAGATCAAATGCACCCACACAGTGCAGAACCAGGGAGAAAGAACCCACACAGTGCAGAACCACGGGGAAAGAACCCACACAGTGCAGAACCACGGGGAAAGAACCCACACAGTGCAGAACCACGGGGAAAGAACCCACACAGTGCAGAACCACGGAGAAGGAACCCACACAATGGATCTGTCCCCAGGGAGGAGACTCGGCTGCACGTGGCTCCCAGGCACCCGAACTGCTAAGCAGCCATCAGAGTTCTGCTGCCTATTCTTATCAGTTTCTCTTGACTGCTCTATACTTCTACACCACCTCAACCAACTCTAAAAACAAGAGGGTATCAACATGTTTTTGTTTACACTTAAAATAGAAAAACAGCAGATTTTGCAGAATCTTAAAATATTTAAGACCAAAAATTTTAATGCACTTTACTTCCAGACAAATTACTTAGTTAACAAATCTATATTTCAAATAAGTGTCTTGTTATTTGACGTTCATATGCATGCATACATACTTCACAGATAACTGGCTTTTTGTAGTTACATAAACAGATATATATATATATATACATATATATATATATATATATATATATATACTGTGTGCTATGTGTGTGTCTGTGTGGTGTATGTTTGTCTGTGTGGTATGTGTCTGTGTTGTGTGTATGTGTACATATATCACTCTCTCCATAATTGTATTTTGCCCACAAAGTTGTCAGAAGCTAATTTTACAACTTAGTCTAGCTAGACCAACCCCTCAGTGTGGCTAGGAGAGAACATAAGAAATAATTAGAGGATGTTGCTGGCACACGCCTTTGATCCCAGCACTCAGGGAGGCAGAGGCAGAGGCAGAGGCAGGAAGATCTCTGTGAGTTTGAGGCCAGCCTGGTCTACAGAGTGAGTTCAGAACAGCCAGAGCTACACAGAGAAAGCCTGTCTCGGAAAAGAAGAAAGGAATAATTAATACAGGCAATGATCAACACAATGGCTTCCGGATCGTGTTTCCTCATTTGTGGTTTAAAAAAAAAAAAAAAAAAGCTCTGTAGTTGTCCGAAGTTCTTCTCAGGTAAATGTGGTGATCTGTGTTGCTCCTGGGGGGTTTGAATATGTTCAAGATTCTTCCCTGGAAACCGAATCTCTAATGGGTACACGTGCCAATCACCCATCTGGTGCCTTCTCACCTCCCATTCACCCATTTGCCTACTGTGTGGAAATAGATCTGGGCCCCCAAACAGTTTTTCTTTGCCAGATGGCAAGGAGTTTTTCAGTAAGCGGGCATGCTTTGTTCACAAAGTGTCCTGGAAGAGACTGGAGAGAAAAGGGTTCTGCTTCCTGGTTCTACTGTTCATGCAGCTTGTGTGGCTTTGCCAACATTAAGTTTCTACACAACACAACGTGGCCAGCACCATCCAGCCACCAACAGCTTCTCCCAGGGCTTCCTCTCAGCCAATTGTTCGGCAAAGTGCCTGTGGTGAGACACTTTCTGTGAACAGCTTGCCTCGGTTCCTATAAAATATTTCAAGGCAAGTCCCAGGGGCCATCGTTGAGCAAGTTCCACCATAGCCCAAAGCAACTTTTTCCATTCATTAAGTCACAGGCATGCCCACCAAACAAGATGTCAACTTAAGATGGGGAGGAGGGACTCTTAACCCCTGTATTCTCCCTCAGCCATGAGCCACAAGGGGCTGTTCCTTTTAACTATTTGCATTCTTTCAGAGTTCTGTTTCTCTTACTACTCTAATCCCTATTACAAATCATACTACCTACACAAATTTCTGTTAAAATTATGATTCCTAAATATATTAAAGCCAAGTACACTAATACCAAATTCATGCAAAATAAATTGACAATGACATACCACTTTTCACCCAATGTGACAAAATCAAACATTGGCAAAGAAGTGAAAAAGAATTCTCATGGCTATAATTCAGCACAATTTTATAAAATAATTTGCTGTTACCTACTCTAAAATCCAATAGTTACCTTAATAGTTGAAGATAGGCATATGATGGTGCTATGACTGGCCGCAGCAGTGCTGTGCTCACAGTGCAGTGTGCAGTGACTGACAGCAGCAGGGCTGTGCTCACAATGCGGTGTGCAGTGTCTGACAGCGGCAGTGCTGTGCTCACAGTGCAGTGTGCAGTGGCTGACAGCAGCAG